CGCTGACTCACCGCGCCCGTCAGAAGCGGCGGCGGCGGGGGGGGGGAACACGACGGCGTCGTCGTGGAGAAACAGCCCCGTCTCCGCGCCCCTTGTCCCCGTCCTCCCTCGCCTCAGCGCCGCGCCCCGAGCGAACGCCCCGCCGTGCGGCAGCCGCCCCTCCCCCAGCACCCGGGCCCACTGCGCGCCAAAAGCGAGCTCCCAGCGACACCCCAGCCGCCCACCCACCCAGCGAACCGGGATCCCCACGCACCACCAGCCGCTCCCGCTCCGCTGCCCGGCGGGCGGAGGAACCGGGGAGGGCCCCTAACACGCCGCAGCGCCCTCCGCGCCCAACGCCGCCATTTTGAGCGGCGCGGCTCGGCGGGTTTCCCCTAAGCGCCCCCTAACGGGCTCGGGGCAACGGCCTGCCCCGCGCCGCGCCGCGCGGACCCTGAGGCGGCGGCTCCTCTCACACCAGGCGGCTGCGAGCGACCGACCGACCCCGGGGCTTTAGGGGATGGAGAGGCAGAGCCCGGGCCCGCGGCGTCGGGCGGAACAGAAAAGCCGGCGCCCGGGCTGAGGGGGGAAGGCCTGGCAGCAGCGAGAGGGGCTGGTCAGACCCGCGGCAGGCGGGGGTGGGGGCTGGAGGGAAGCGGGACGGCCGGCCTGTGCTTTGCCGGCGGCTTTTTGTTGTCTGCGTCGCTCTTCTTTCTTGTCCGTCGTCCGTTTTACCCCCCTCCCGACCGTGTTTACGGCCGCTCCGCAAAAACTGTCGGGTTGTGGCAAACAAAACACGTTGTGGCTTGTGGAAGCGAAGCGGTGAGGAGACGGAACTGGAAGAGCAGGCCTTGTTGCTAACAGCGAGCCCAAAAGAGTATGAACGTTCCCTACAGAGCCCCACTTCACTAAAAATCTGAAAAAAAACTTGCGTTGATGTCGAACATCTCTCGGGCTTCACCTCGGACACATGTGGTGCTGAGGTGCAGCTCTGCTTGCGCGGGGCGAGGCCATGCAGCCCCCGCTGTTGGCAGCTCTCTGGACCCCCGCTTCGTGGGCGCCGCGTCCAAAATGTAAGACCTTGTTTGGGATTAAAGAGCTTTAAGGCTTCTGATGGCAACCTTGTGCTTCTGTAAATCCAGCTGCAGCATGTTAGTGACAGAAAACTTCATTATGTCAATTTATTTTGAGGTTAATAATGGCAGAGACCCTTGCTTATAGTCCACATAAATTCAGGGACACAGTAGTAAAAGTGCTGGTTGCCTGGCTTATAGGTAATGACACCTTTGGATACTAGTTTGATTTGCAATGCTCATTTGTGCCCTTTAAGTTGTTTTTCCACTGATCTTTAGGAGAGGAAACGAGGAGATAACTTTACATCCAAAGAGAATTGGAGGCTGTCATACTGTCCTATATGCCTGTCATCTCCCATTCTATACTTTTGAATATCTTTTAAGTGTAGGGCATTTGGAAGTATGTTATTTTGATAGGTACTAATTGCTACACTTCAACTAGAACTGGTTAGTTTTTAGTCCGACTCCCTTTTCTAATTCGCAGGTTTTTTCTTTTGCCCATGGTGACATTTTAAAATCATATTTGAATAGTGAAAAGACTTGTTAGAGAACATGAGTGCTGCAGATAGTGTTTAAAGATACGCTACAGCAGAGTGAGAGCATAATGCTAATTTTCCATGACAACTAACTTGTCCAAACAGGCAGTGGATAACTGCCTGGACTTGTCCGTTGGCCAAATATAGATTCTCAGCAACCATGTCACCTTGTAAAAATTCCAGCAGTGGTTTAAATCTAGATATGTGTGTGATGACGGATTTTCAAGACGAGCTTGTTATCCCTGTTGAGCATAAAGCTCAAGGTCTAGCGGGGGACAGAGGAGAGGCTGCCAGAATTTTGCAAAGCATGCTCACCTCCTGTTAGCACTGGAATTTCAAGGCAAACAGAAATCTGGTTTAAGTGGAATGTCTTGCCACAGGCCAAGTCAGATAGCTGCTTATTTTCACCCAGTACCCCAATTGCTGAGATCCTTAACTAGCTAGCTTGCTTCATCATTAGGGGAAAATTCCATCTACACAAAAATGCAAGAGGAGAGAAACGAATGGCTACACTCAGTTGACGTAACACTGAACAGCGGTATTATCGATACTCAGTCTTGTCCTGATGTGGCATGAAAACTATTTAACTCCAATACAAAATGCATTTTACTGAGCTGAAGCAAAACAAAACCAGAGCATTTATGTAGTTCTCCCAAAAATATATCACATTGTTAAGCCTAGTCTTAAGCATGGTATCATTTTGCTAAGGCTGTGTGGAAATTAAGGTGCTTTTTAAATTAACAACAAATTTTCTACAGTCCAAGACTTGCCACACTGGTAAATAGGACCTTCTTTTTCCACTTCTCAACCAATAAACATCTTGTGACCAATGACTTACTTTGAGATTAAATTGGGATTCTTTACATAATAACTTCCCTTACCGATTCATTAACTGCTAAAGATAAAACCAAACAGTTTCTGTCTAGAACTTTTATCTGTCTTCAAGGACAATCTCTCTTCTCAGACAGACTAATCTCAAGTAAGGGGAGGCTGTGAGCAGGTAAAATACGCTGTCTGTGCTTGCTTGGGGAGATAGGAGGGTATTTTCTGACACGCAGTGCTGCACTACTTCTGTCTTGTTTGCCACTAGTTTGTCACCAATACAGCACATGCTATGTCATCAACATGCATAATTATTTTCTTATGCTTGATAATTCAGGACAAATATAATTAAAAAGTTTTACTTGAAGGGTGAGTAATAAGCTTGTATAGTTATGAGAGCTGATTTCCCCACTATTTCAAGGTCGTAAAAAGAAAAGGAGACATCGCTATGGCAAGACCCCACCTGTGTATTTTATTTATAATGCTACAGAAAATATCTGGAGCAGATGCAGCCCAGCTGCCTTAACTGGAGATACTCACTTTACATTGTGGTTAACTAACATGGTATGAGACCCTTTTTAATATAAATTCAGATTCAAATTGTAGACATTTCATTGTTTAATGCTTGCAAGCTAAATTCTTTTCTGAGGTGCATCTGGTCTACCTATAGGCACATATGCCAGAGGAAGGATGGGTCGCTGTGCTGCAGGGGTGCCCAACTCAAGTGAGCGATGGATGGACCATTAAAGACTTCAATTTCAGATTTTAGTTCCTCACTATCATTCTTCCCCCCCCCCCAACCTAGTCAGCATCCAGCATATAGATGACATGGTCCGAAGTTCCCAGATGCTCATCAGAGGCAAGGGTGGCCAGGGTTTGTCAGGTCTCATCTCCAACCCATTTGCTGCTTCTTGGCTATCAGATAGGTTAACCTCACATGCTGTCTATCAACTGCTCCCAGACAAAAAAAAAAAAATTCAAAAAAAGCCTCTGGGGCCTTACATTGTGCTGATGTATCCTTTCCAAAGCCTCAGACTGCATCTCTATTAGTGTGACACAAAGCTGTGATCAGTCATGTGCTGCACATTGTCAGGCACCGCAGGATAAGAGGACAGAGGAAAAAGGATGGTGTGTGTGGCTTAATGGGGCTTTCTGCCAGTCGTCTGCTGCAGCCGTGACCCCGCATGCCAGACAGTGGGTCAGTACACTTCTGTACAAATACAAGAGAAAGAATTTTGTTGTTGTCTTGACATTCCTGTTTTGTTGTGTAAGAAAAAGCACATTGATAAGAAATCCTCATGCCAGTAATAGCGTACTCGGCTCAGAGAACTTACACTTCATAAGCTAAGACCTGTCCCAATGGAGAGGTCTGTCAGTACCACCACCAGAAACTTCTTGCTATAAATGACACCCAAATTCTACTAAATGAAAAGGGGACACAGCCTTCCTGGGGCCAGTTTTGAACAGGCAGTAATGACAAGCAGGAATCAAAAGCAAGGCTCGTAGCAGCAGTGGGGACCCAAAGACCACACGCCATGCTATTGCAGCTATTTAACAGGGAACGCTAAGCTGTACTTTGCTGTTAAACTTGTGTCTTTCTGGTGCACAGGAGCTGTGTCTTTGAGCTGCCCAGGGCTGCACCGCCCTTCCCAACAGCCCCAGCTGCTCTGCGGACTGGGTGGCATGGCAGGCGTTCTGCAGCTTCACCTGTGTGCGCACCTTGGGCTCAACTACCTGCGGAATTTTACGGGTGTTTTCGATAGGAGAGTGGCAGTTACCTATGTTTCCATAACTCCAGATGCAACCTCGTTTATTTTTTAAAATGTAAAATCGCCTCAGGTGGACTGGCAAAGATGGTCTCAGACAAAATGTTTTTCTAGCAGCTGTTCACGAGCTCCTACCTCCCTCCCGCAGGCATTCAGTTCAGGTGCGCCCTGCTCTTGCAAGCGTTAACTACAAGCTGCTTCAAAACCACCTGGAGCTGGAACAATCCCACATCAGAAGACAGAAGTTTTTCTGCTTTTGTTTAGTGGGCGTACTCATTCCTTCATGCATCTGGGAGACATTGGCAGTCTGTCTGCCCAAATCTGATTCTGATTTGGTAGCAGCTCAATCAGCCACAAGCAAAATAAAACAATAGTGTATGCCTTCTGAAGGGAGGCCAACTGGCAAAAATGTAAATCAGTTATCTTGAACTTCTGCTTAGAAGTGCTCAGTATCTAACAGGGAATTAAAGGTTTGGGTGGGTTTTTTCCCCATCTCGTTTTCTGTTTAGTCCTCGCTTTTGGAGCTCATGAGGTGATTCTAAAGAACTGAAAGGGAAAAATCTCAGGAAAAGGCTCTTCTTACTCCCAGTACTTTTGGTTAGGAACACCACTGAGTGAAGAAACAAAGAAACGTGTTTTAATTCTACTCTTGTTAAGCAGGGGTGAAGTATGTTGCTAGATTGTGACCATTTCCTGCTTTACTAATCTGTAGCTGTGAAAAGGAAATAATCCAGTGATCTCTCCTTTTGTAGGAGTACTTGATTGGATTGCATGTAATTAGATCAGAGAAAGCCTCATTTTAACAATGGTCATCTGCCTTGTTTAAGCAAACCAGGATGACCCCTGTTCAGTTTAGAACTGTTCTATTAATCCAGTGTTCATTTGTCATTCAAATGTACTATTCCGTCTAGCACAAAATATTTTTCTGTTACAGGGAGGGGCTCAGAAGGGTGTGTGGGTTGTGTACAGGCTAACAGGTCTCATGTGGAGGACGGAGATGTCTGACTTCAGAAGCTCTTGAGGAAACACTCTGAAATGTATTCACAAAACACATTTCTGTTCCAGGGAGGGGCTCAGAAGGGTGTATGGGGTGTGTACAGGCTAACAGGACTCATGTGGAGGACCGAGATGTCTTTCAGAAGCTCTTGAGGAAACACTCTGAAATATAT